TAGAGGTTTTTTTTTTTTTGGGGGGGGGGGGATTTGGGAGGCTAATTACACATATACACTTCTTAGGAAGTTGGCCTTCATTCAAAGAGACGGTGGCAATGTTTGCAATCATTTTATCTGCTTTATAACCAGGATTTTACTTTTCAGAACCATTCAACAAGCATGCTAACCTTTTCAATTTCAAATGTTCTTTGTATTCCCTGATTACTTTATCACAGAACAATTTATATGCTTTTAAAGATGCTGACATTCTCTTTAGTCTAAAGCAGCAAAAAAAATCCAGTAGTTTAGATTTTAAGATCAGTAGGTGCCATATCATGTCTTTGTTATTGTCCTCCTTAGTCTGTTGACTGTGTCAGCTTGTCCATTCCATGTCATGCATTATATTTAAACAGAAATCATGTGCTAGAAATCACATGAAACATTTCTGAAGAAACTGAAAGTGATGATCATTCTGAAACTGAAAGTGAAAAAGAAATTTCATGAAGGACAACAACGCCCACATTGTCATTCAGGTTGTTAACATACTTGAGAGCATAGTGAGTTCAAGTTTTGGAATTCAAAGTTGGAGTATCTGTTTGGATCTAAGTTAACACTAGACATACTTGTTTAACTTAAAGTCAAAACATCTCACAACAAGCAGGAACATCCTGCTTTCCAATTCACAAGAAGGTTGTCAAATCAAGAATCGAATCATGAATTGGAAAGCTCATTTCTGAATTGTTAATTGAATCGAATTGCGAATAGTAAGATCAGTATTACTTATACAAGTACTTTCAGAACATATGTAGATAATATAAATTTCTCAAATGCAAAAAAAAAGAAAAAAGAAAAAAAAGATAGAATAATAATAAATATACTAAACATGATAAATTAAAATAAAGCATTCATGTAGTTTTTGTTTGGAATTTTTTGTTTTCATGTTTCTAATGTTTAAAAATAATTAAATCTTAGAAGCTTCCTAGGGAAGCTGTTGAAATAAATGGCAGATAATTTTTTTATATGACATGTGTCTGATAAGAGTGACCGGACATGATTATATCTAGTGGGCGGTGTTTTGTAAAAAAAAAAAACAAAAAAGAATTATCCAGCTGGGCCCTGAATATTTAAATTTCCTTTTATTTATTTTTCCCAAGTCACGTGTGCTAATTTTTTTAATTTGAAAATCTTTAGTCTTCACTTTTATCCATCCATCTTCTTCTTCACCTCTTCTAACACAAACTTCTTTCTCTACAAACCGGTGTGCATCTTCTATCAAAGCTACAATTCCTTCATATGTCTTTATTTTTTCCTCTTGGAATTCCTTTCTTCCATATCTTTTTTTTATTTTTTGGCAACTCAATGAATTGTATGAAACAAATGATTTAGGACGATTCAAATCAAATTGTGCAATTCACGTCCAATTCTTGTATATTTTCAATTCACATACTTGATATAAATCATTTTCTGGGTAAATTGAATTGAAACCTGATTGTACAATTCTAACAACCATGCACAAGAAATCATCCTCCCTTAATTAATTTGATTGGGCATACTGGGTTCTACAAGTACTATAACAAGAAAGCAAGGATGGTATACTAACCTGGAAGCACCATTGTGAACGCCTCGTCTAAAACTGCAATACCTGCAGCCCATCCAGTCGTCAATTCTTCAAATAAAGCTGCTGAGCAAGTTAGAGCAAGAGATTGATCATCTACAACACCGCGCACCCATGCCGATCGTACTATTTTCAACCTTTCTTTAAACCCCTGGTGTGCTCTCAATAATTGCAGGCTTGACGGTTTAGATTCAAATGGTTTGTACGTTACTCCATTTCCTAAGCAGGATAAAATATGCAATGCACGAGAAGGTGATTCTTGATTATTTCCAGAACTATTGGCAAGTTCTGTCTCAGCATACCAGAAATATAAAAGCGGGGCATTAGATCGTAAATCCTACACACAGAAACAGAAGAAACTTAGTACTATTTTAATGCACAAGCACCCACATGCTCAGATGATAAGACTCAAAGACTGTTTTGAACCAGTAATGTACGAGGTAAAATTCAGTATCTTCAAGTACCAGTCTTTCTCCATTGTTACAAGAAACAGACACAGTTAAAAGATAACAATGCTGATGAAAAAGGCATGACACATAGAGATCATTATTATGCAGTCACAACATAACAAGAACTGCAGATATAGAAAAATGTAAACTTGGAAAAAACAGGAAATCTGAAATATGTATGTGTCTCAACCACTAGAACTCTTTCTATGTCTTACACCATGTAATGAACTTGAGATTCAAAAACACCGGATTATAGTGACTGTGGCTTTTACTTATTATCAGGAAACAAACAAGACAAATAAGACACTGACATTCCTCACCTTGTCCAACATTACCAACCCAAAAACCAAAGACGGAACAAAAAAGTTCAATCAATATTAGGAATAATCCAGTATTCATAGTTCAAACTCTTTAAATCTCTAATGGTAACCGCCCAAGCCACTGCTATTGATTCAGGAAAAAAAAATGAACAAGAATAACAATAGAAAGTATTCTTACAACATACAAAAATATCCATATAACATTGCTACAAAGCATACTCAGAAGCAATTGCATATAACTAGCATGACATTCTCCAGATATACACAGAAGTTAAATATATGAGTAGGTATGTAACCATGACTAACAACCAAATAACAAAATAATTATACAACCATAAATAGACATCCTTGATCGTTATCAAAGTTCAGCTATAAAGTTAATCAACTGGAAACTAAAGGTTCAGAAAGATAAGAGTTATTACAGGTGGAAGCCCTTCAACAGATGTCAATGCCAAGTCAAAGACTCTTCTTGCATGACCAATATTACCAAAAACAGCTTCTCTCCGTGCATAAACTCCACATAGCAAAACATCCTACAATAAAAATGCACCATATCAGATTAAAATTGAAGATACTATTTTCGTAGATAAAAGGCCACAAAAAAATCTCCAGATGGAAAATGCAGGAATCAAGTAGCCTATTTAAAAAAAGTTGCCAGTGCTCCCACAATGCATTTTCCACAGTAATACAACAATGAACCACATACAATCAACTGGCTTAAGAGAAAATGGCATAACTTATCCTTAAAAGGACTGGAGGAACATTTCGATTCTACTAACATTTGACATTATGTGAAACACCTTAAGAAACTTACATTCATCCTTCAAAACATTTCTTCCAATTTCCTGTTATACTCAAACAAGCAAAAGACTCCAGAACCTTCTTGTTTGCAACATTGTTGTCTAGAATGTTTCAATGAGTGGAAATTCATGTAAACAAGGAAAACACAATTTACACTTTGATACTTCCATGGCTTCAGTTTTTCAGGAATGTGGAAGCATATTGTGCATTTTGATGGCAAGAAAGGAACAAATTATGTAATGTGATTACTTATGAAGACAATCCATGTTGCCAGTAAAATGAACAAGAAATACCTGACGATCATTCTTTAACAGGGACTTTGCCAGCGCACGACATGGGGTAGTAGAATCCATTTTCATAACGGAAAAATCTTCAGCAACAAGAGCAGCTTCTTCTAATATGTGATTACGTGGAAAAGCTGTTAAGCAAAGTAATACAGCATTTCGAAGAAATTTCATTGCATCAGTCCTCATAGAGCTGTTACTGGTGATACCCAATAGTAACTCAAAACTGTTAGAGCTTGAACTGCCTTCTGATCTGTCCAAAATATCATGAAGGCTTCTCAAGTTCTTTGATATAGCATCTGGCAACACCTCAATGCTCAGGAGCTTGTCCTTCCAACTTGAACTGTTTGTGCAAATCCTAGAAAGAAAAGCAAGAATCCACAACTGTTTTATATCATGAATAACATTGTGAAATGAAAACTATGCATATTTATCATTCTTTGTTAAAAGAAAATGTATATAATTAGATTATAGATCAATCTGTAATGAAACAACCAATAACTTACAAAGTACAAGTTTGAATTTCAAATAGGCTACTCTTGTAGTAGTTCCAAACAATCAAACTCAAACGATTCTGGATAAAGTGCAGCAGTTTAAGAAAATATAAAATATGCAGTTGGTAACTTGTGTTGAACTTATATAGTGGTTTAATAAACTCTACTTTTTAAAAGATAACCAGTCAAGGAAGGTCTTTCAATCTCCATACCTAGAAGCAGGAAAAAGACCCCTGATAGAGGGGACTAGACCTTCATGACAAGAGGAGATAAGTACTCAAGGTCGCGACCAAATACACTTTTGGTGGGCAGAAGACCTAGTACTGCACTTGCTCAGAAGCTTGTAGCCACTTCCTCAAGCACCCCTTCTCAAGTCATCTCTTCAAGGGAACCTCTTTGCAGAAGCAATATATAAGACCACAAAGTTTTTGTTTTTCATGTGAACCTATCAGGTTTAAATAGAATTTCTACGAACGTTCCCAGGACCATGATGTGATAGGTTATCTATTTTTCCTTCTCCTTTTGTTTCTTATTTTGCATTCGAATCCTAATTTACTTGCAGCTAGTTTCTTAAAGGTTCAACTACTGCTCATTTGAAGTAAATTTTGAAAGTCCTCAAATCATGATCTTAGTGTCATGGACTTCTTCCAAACAGATATCAAATTTCCTACCAAAGTTTCAGTACATGAGTTTTCTTAACATGCACGCACAAACAAAGAGGAAGAGGCCACCGTCACTGACTAGGTATAAAAACTTCATCATGTGAAAGAAAGGATAAAAACAGCAGCATCAATCAACAACACACTAATAGACACACTAAATGGCTATAAACAAATGAAGAAAGCTTCTCCAACAGAAACAAATGAAGCTAATTTGGAAGTTGAAATTTAATTTCCTGACCCTTCATATGTACAAGTGTTTCTAAGGACCTAAAAGGGCCAGCAGGAATGTAATTAAACATGCATTATTAGCATATCAAGCTTCTTAGAAAAAACAAAACAAAAAATGCTCCACGTCAATAAACTTTTGTAAACACAAAAAGGGTTTGCAATTGACAGTTTGTTCCAAAAAGTTTACTCTCTTACATATAACAAATCAAATCCAAAAAGAGATGAATTAAAGTGAAATGAAACCACAAACTCATGAAACTGGATAGAAAAGTACTAAATAGACTTACCATTGCGACAGGTCTCCACCAAAGAATTCAATAAATTGAGATACTAGAGATAAGCGGGCCTCTTGAGAGTTTAAAGAGAATAGGTATTCAATGACATCTTCAAATAATACAGCTCTTAGGAAATGTTCATCAGCTTCTCCATCAGGGGTCCCACTACTGGGAGAGATCCTGCCTATATCATAGCAATTATGATTTAGTGAGTGCCTAAGCATATATTTGTAAGAACAGATACTTCCATGTATATTACATCTTAGTAAATTGATGTTGTGCTACTTGAACATAAATTGAACAAATCAACAAACACAAATTGGGAGGGGGGGGAGAGGGGGAGAGAGTGAGAAAGAGAGCACCAAACTTGCCATGAACAGGCATCCATTGATTACAATCTCTCAAGGACTCTTCTTTAGACCACCTAGCCCAAGTTGAGCTGTCTTTAACCTCACTACTAGGCTCAGCATCCACATCAATGCCAAGCTGTTTTAGCAATGCTTCAGTATCATCTTCCTGTTTGATATCCTCATTCTCAGATTCCTCCAGAATTTCATCAGTAGTCGCATCATTATGGACTACATTTTCTTGATTCTTAGTAGTTTCCTCATGTTTGGATAGCGGTTCTGACCAGCCAGTCCAACCACCTCCATCTTCATCATGTGAAGCCTCCTCTTTCAAAATCCTTTGCCTATTTTCCTCCTCTCTCTCCAACCAAGTGGACCACCCGACAGCCCCTTCTTCTCCAACTCTTGGACAATCACTGTTCCAGAAGTGCTCAAACAGCCTGAGTTTGCTATGTTCAGTTAAAAGTAACGATGGACAAAACACAGTAAATTCAATTTCAGCCTGAAATAACGTAGTGGCCAACTCCTGATACCCAGCCTGCCACTCGAGCCTGCAAAGACTAAGAAATATATCAACCAGACCAAGCTCCTGTTGTACTATGGCAGGGTCCAAAGAAGAAGGCTTCTCATTTTGGTAAACCTGCATCAAACAAATAAGGAGACTTAGCACTTTATTTGAAGAGGGAGAGAGAGAGAGAGAGAGAGAGAGGAAATGACAGTTGAAATTAGATTGTCTGGACAAAACTCAAAAAAGGAAAAGTGGCAACCATAGCACTCCCAACAACTTATAAAATAAAGTCACCAACATTAATACCAGATGCAAGAAAAGGCTTAAATACTTTTGAGATTTTGTACTACCAACTGACATGGAAACTTGGTGACTGGATCTCAAAGATAACCTCAGTTGTCTCACAAAAGATGTAAAACAAAAAAAAAAAAGTTCACTTGCATATTGACAACGTATGTGGAATGGACTAACATAAGATTATCAAAATACTGTTACCATTAACTCCCAAGACAATAATAATAGAGATACGAAACCCAATTAGATTCAAATCAAGAAGCTATCAATGGCTGATACAAAGATAAAATTGGATAAGAACCTGCCTAAACTGCCTGCTGCATGCAGAAGATACAGCTTGGACTGCATGTGCATACATTTTTCGCATATCTGAAACCTTGAATCTGGAGAACTCCCCTTGAACAACACGCAAATACTCTTTCCACAACTTGTGATTCCCTGAATGATGCATGAGTACCTTCTCCCATCTACCGATAAGCATATCTGAACTGTCTCTACTCTGATAAGCCTTCATAAGACAGAGCAACAGTTCCTCATTGTCAGGGTTGAGCTCTGTGGCCTTTTCCAGTACACTAATTTTCTTCTCAAGCGTCTGCAAACGGGCACCTTTCTGACGCTGCATACTCGCAACCTTGTCTTGGAACTCTGCAAAATCCAACCATACTTTCTCATCATGAGGGTGCTCCCTTGTTAACTTATTAAACTCCCGAGTCTTGCGCAACACCTCATCTTCCCAGGATTCTTCAACAACTAAACAATCCTTCAAAACAGAACCAGGATGATCAACACCATCATGAGACATTTCTGTATCTGACAAAGGAATAAATTCATCTGAAACTACAACCCTAGGCTGCTTTCGTGCAAGAACACGAAGACGCTTTAAATTCTTATGCCGTTCCACTGCAGCATACTTGGAAGACCAATAACGACCACCAGACTTTAATTGGGTATCCAAGGCGTCAATATCACCATCTCTATCAAATCCAGCACCCCTCTTATTCAGCCGATAAAGCCCTCGAAAATCAAGTTTTGTTGAATTATAAGGTTTGTACCTCGGAACATCCATTCTGCACATTAATTTGAATCCACATTACAAATTCCAAAAGAAAAAAAAAAACCATAAAATCAAGTTTCACCAAATAATTTCTTTTCTTTAAAAAAGATAAACATAAACAATTAAAGGACAAAAAAGATTATTCACTTCACTTTCACCATTTCCAAAACCAAAACTACAACATAAAATTACTTAATTCCATTAATCTTATCCACACAAAAAAAAATTATCCGCCAATAACTCTATATCTTCTAATCAATCATAACTCAATGCCTTCAAAATTCTATCAAGTTTCAATAACATTTCTAGAGTCAAATAAAAGAATTGATCGATTGATGAATAAAAACACTTAATTTCGTCCATATTCTCAATAATACTAGCGTTTGCGGAAGCGTAGAGAGAGAAATACCTGTAAAGAGTGCCATAGACCAAATTATCGCGATCACCATGAGTATCAAAATAATAATCCTTAGTAGTTTTCGTATCAGAACCCGCCCAAACCCTAACATTTGATTTCCTCGAACCAAAATCCCTAGCGTCCTCCTCATCTCTCGATCTATCTCTCTTCTTCTTCTTGCTATGTCGTCTTTTCTTCGTCTTCTTTCTCTCTCTACCAGAACCCGAATAATCCGAATCAGAACGAGAATATTTAGCTTCACTTTTCTTTTCTTCTTCTGGTTCTTGTAATAACTGGTAAGACCGGTCTTTTCCTTGATTGGAAACGCGGTCGTCTTTAGCTTCTTCTTGTTCTTCAAGGTCTGAATCTGAGTGGTGCGGTAAGTGGAGAGAGGAAACGGCGTCATTTACGATGGAGAGATCAGTAGTAAAGCTGGTGTTGTAAAGCCATGCCGGAGGAGGAGGAGGAGGAACTGTATCATTTATAGGTGTGTTAGTTTGTTGTTGAGTTATAGATGATGAAGCTGCTGCTGCAAAGAGAGGGAATAAAGAAGGCGACGAGGACGTTTTTTCTGCGGCCTTTTCTTCTCTTTCCATTTTGCACGCTGCTTCCTACTGCTACTACAGATTAGCCTACTGAAATTTTGAAGGAAATTTCAACAATGATTAAAAATCAATTGTGGTCCCTCAATTTGTGATATTTCATCAGATCAACCTCTATACTTTATTTTTCATCAGATTGGATCATTTCGTTTGAATTTGCAATTGATTAACTTAAACCTCTTCAACTATAAAAATATTATTTTAATATATTTTTAAATAAAAATATTTTAAAAAATAATTACTATTACTATAACAAATACTAAGTGAGAGATGGAAAGGACGCATTTTCGTGTACTGTTCACCCCACGTAAATCAAAAAAAAAAAAATATGAGCTTTGTCGTCGTCATCAGTAACCATAACCTTCCTGGAGGACGAGGACGAAGTAGCAGGAAATCATGGTTTTGTGAGGTCCCGGACTAGAAAAAAAACACTTTTTTCCGGCCGTCTAGCATGCGCGCCAACTCCTGGAGAGATTTAACAAGAAAAATATTAAATATGAAAAATCTATTTGGATGCATCATCGTTAAAAGCCTAATCAATGGAGTCTAGAGCATGAAGTCTCGAGCTACTTTTCATATGTGAGCGCTCATATATTCTTCTGATGTAAAACAGGCAATTGAGAATTATATGAGAGTGCAAAAAATAAGTGTCACCAAATAAGTACACTTCGTTTTTAGATAACAGAATTTCTTCATCTTCATAAATCTCTCACCGGAGCATCTAAGAGGAGCGTCGAGAGATTAATTTGTGATTACCTGATATTCTTTAAACTCATGACGACGTCTTTTATTACTGTACATGTGCAGTTGTTGGCTACAGTTCAGGAAATGAATTTTACATTGATACCAACACCCTATGAGAGTAGCATGAACACAAAGAAATCTGATAAATTCTGTCATTTTTACCATAACTACGGTTATTACATTAAAGAATATCGTAAGATAGAAAGATTGATCTCCTGTAAATACTTTCAATAATTTGTGAAGAATGAGATACAACTTGGATAAATAAAGAAAAATCTATGTGATGCATTATCCAAGATTAAATAATTTTTAAAAATTTTATTTGAACTTTTGAATAAATATAATAATGTTTTCCCATGTTTCTAATATCTCTGACAAAAAAATTCAATGATGAGATCTTGACATCTCTATTGAATTCTTTATATTTTTGGTGAAAATCTTTCAAGCAATACCTCTATATCTACATTAAAATCTTCATGTTTTCAAATGAATTCTTTATGTTTCCAGATATGTCTCATATATCTCCAATGAAAATTTTCACGCAAGACCTTCATTGAATCTTTATGTCTCTACATAACATCTACTTGCACGATGCTTTAATTATTTTTGCATGATCATTCTCTATTTTTTAATAATGTTATGTATTGTAAGAAGAACCAGTAAAATTAATCAAACTCACATCTTTTTTATAGGCAAAACACTAGGTTTCCTTATAAATGTGTTGACAAAAACCATAAAAATATAACATTTATATAGTAAGTATTTTGTTTTTCCTTTTTTACTTGTAAAATACTTTCAAGTATATTTGTTTAAAAAACTTCGAAAGTAAATGATGATATAGAAAAATAAAAAATAAAAAATAAACCCCCCCTCCTTTTTCTTCTTTATTAAGCCAAGTTATCCCTAAATTAGCAAGCACCTTTATGCATTTTTTTTTAATTCCTAAAACTCTACACATAAGTTATATACGCAGGCACCATATTTTTTTATATAGAGCAGACATCATATTTCTATATTAATGGTTGTTTTTTAGCATTGACAATCATTAAGTTCTCCATCAAAGCATAAAAGCACCATAATCTCCACTAATGGTGGAACTCTATTCTCCGCACATCGAGGTACTTGCAATTACAATACACAAGATAAGCAAATATTATCAAAATTTATAAATAATTTGGTCACTATATAAATTAGGCCAAGCAATTTCATAGATAACAATCAACAATCCAATAATTTCAAGAATCACTATCAACCACCTAACAATTCTAAGAATCATAAACAATTATACAACAAGTTCGTAGACATAACACACAACATACACGCTCACAACAATTTGATTATGTTTTTCTTTACTATACATTATTTCCTTCTCTTACATTTACTAAAGCATGAGAGTGTTATTTGTTTTCACTACAAACCTATTTTATAGAAATGCTCAAGCTCAATCAATCCTCCAGCACAAGATCACAGACATGAAAAGTCCAATCGAGTCTGAAGTTTTTCATGATTTCATCAATATTATATCATACTAGAGAGTAATTTTTTAACAATTTTTTCATGTATTAGCATAATCATATTATGCAAAAGAACTTATTTTCTGAATAATTTAAATACAATGTTTTGTCTTTGTAATAAAGTAACAAAGTTTTAATGCATTTTATGTTCTCTATTCTTTTGCATACCTAAATTCTATGTTTATGCATTCTCAATCGTTCATAACATATATTAATATCCTAATTAAAAAAATCTTTCTTAAGTAACAAAGTTGTTAAAATTCAAATAAATTTAGGTTTTTCACAACTGTATTATAGGTTTAGTATGTAGGCTTGATTATCTTACATTTTTCTATAAAACAAGTCCCTTTGTAGATGGAAGAGGACCCTCAAATAATTAAGTTAGCAAAAACAAGAGAAAATAATAGTAAATTGAAAAGAAGTAATAAGTCGAAGATGAGTTTTTGCATGTGTTAATCGAGTTGTGTTTCTTATATTAGTGGTCTTTAGGTATGTATATACCACTGGCCACCGAGATCATATGATTCACCTGGTGAAGAGTAGGGTAATAGACTTGTACTTTTATAGGAGAAATAATTATGAGAAGTTGTTTTACCATTGAAGATAATTTTCTTAGCTAATGAAAAAAACAATTGACCATAGAGCTCAATCAATAAAATGAATTGATTACATAAGTAATAATAGCTAGCTAGACAAATATTCTAACTGCGATGTTGACCAATAAGGTGATTTGTACATGAGATAACATGTGAAAATATTGTAGGTTCTTATGACTTAAAAAATGGGTAATTAGGTGACACAATATTGATTTCTTAGAAAAATAAAGGTCATGACAGTACACACATAAACATTGTTTTGTGTGTTGGTAATTTTTTGGGACGGATAAGTTGTTAGATCATTTGTTTGTTTGGATTGTGACCAAACAAGTTAATTACGTTGAGTAGCAACTTGTTGCAGCCTCAACCCAATTATGTTAACCAAATAGCTTATTGTTTGATCTATGGTTGGGTTTTAACCCAACGAAGAAAGTTAGGGTTTAGGCTTTAACCAAACTAGTTATGAAAAAATTATTTAAATTTAATGGATACCTACTCAAATGAATATGAGATTTTTAAGTTCGATTGAACTTCAGGTAAAACCTAAAGGTAGAAGTCATGTTTGAATTGAGAATATATATTGGCATAACCAAACTCAATCTGAAATAAATAAATAGCATTGAAGTTTGAAAAATTATATGTATATCAAACTAATTATATACAAAATAATTATAAATTATAACATTCATTTTGGGTTCAAGTTGTGGATACTCGATGGGTGCCCAAAACCTAATCAAGTTAGGTTCAGGTATAGAAGTTTCATATTCAATCATATTTAGTCAGTTTCAAGTAGTTATTTTGGGTCAAGTATAGATAGTATAGTCTAAAACATATTCATTAAGTCCAACCCGCACAACTTACTGTCCAATCTAATATTTTCATAATTTAATTTTTTTTTATTTTAGTGTTTTTTAAAATTTTGATTAAAATGCAATTGTATTAAAATTTTGATTTTTTATTATTAAATTAATATGAAAAAATCAATTGCTCAAAATAAACAATAAATTATTTTATAAAATATAATAATTTGTAACAATGAAAAAATGAATGAATTAGAGTAAGTAATTTCTTTATGAATTGAATAAAATTAATGATTGAATTTTTTAGCATTATGAGAAAAATATTATTTTTAAAAATTCATGTAATAATTAAAGCATACATAATAAAAAAAATGATCATGCTTTCACAGATATATATATATATATATATATATATATATTAAATTAGAGTTGAATGTTGAATTAATTTTAACAATATCCATACAACATAGCAACAATTACATAGCGAGTAAAGTAACTATCTAATGAAAAACCACAAGTCAGATTAATTTAATTTAATTTTAGGAGAGAAAAAAGACATTTATATGGGCTTTGACCCTATATGATTAAATCAAGTCGGTATTTAATTATTTAAAACTTATGGAATTAAAGTCTCAATTCGAGACAGATTAGGGATCTATACACGTTTAATTCTAACTGTAGTTTATTTATTTTCAGGCCGTGTACCACCAGAATTCTTAGCTACTATTTTCTTTATTCTATAAGAAAATGAAATTGACAGGGATCAAGTTTATGAACAGATTGCAAAACGTAAGGATAGAACAATAATAATTTCTGAAACTCCATTAATTAATTAATTATATTAATTATGGTTATAATTAAGTCAATCGTTGACCTCCAAACCAACAAAACCAAAGAAACTACCATGAAGACACTATCATCGGTGCTGCCAGCCCGAAAATGTACAGAGACCATCCTAACAAAGAGATGCATGCCAGCAGCCGGCAGAGCTCGAATGAAACCACTGAAACATTCTCACTGGAACATAAAATCTAAGCATCAAACATTAGCAAACTAAAAATTTCTGAATGCTCTCAATGGCCTTCCATCAAACTCAAATGGGATGCTGCAGTGAAGTTCTTGTCTGGAGCAAGCCAATCAAAATTGGATAAGCAGCTATTTTTTCACATGCTATTACTAGTAACCTAAAAAAAAATTGCCACCATCATGTACAGCAAGATTTTTAAGATTCCTCTTCCACCAGATCAAACAAAGTGGACAAAGAAAATCCCTAAGAATACACAGTGCGTGAAGAATTACAATTATGGTGAAATTAAAATACAACTTGCCAAGGGGAAGGGGAGATATCACCAAAGGAAACCAAACACACCTTTCAATGCATACAGCTATGCGATGTGGCATGCCCACTTTCCAGATCAATTTAAATATATTACCAATATCAGTTGCTCCTTCCCTCCAACCACCATGAAAAATCTTCAGTCAGTTCAAGCTGATATGGGTTCATAAGGGTATGATAGCCAAGGGTGCTTCAGAGCCTCGGATGCAGAAGGGCGTTTCTTTGGGTTTACTTCAAGTAAATGAGAAACAAAGTCAATGAAGCCTTGGTCCCCCATTGGCAATCGGTGCCTCAAGGATGTCTTTTTTGGAATCAGGTATTCCAGTCTGCTAGTATCCTGAGGAATAGAAAGAAGAGTCAACATAATTGCACAAGCCAAACATATTATATCCAGTATTAAAGTTTCACATCAAGGTCATGAATGAAAATTGGTTTGAATCCTCTACAAGAAATTACTGTTCATTCAACAATCAGAACCACAACAGGTATACACAAGCATTCTTGCATAAATGCATACCCTCTCTCCATCGTATACTTGAAGCTTGCAGTATACATTACCGTCCATTTTGATCCAAAGTTTGAATCAGACTTTGACATCCGAATTTTGTACTCTAAAAACTACAAACTATTTTCATAAGGGGTAAAATAAGCACAATTAGTGATGATAGTATTTGAGATGCTGGCTAGTTATTTTCATATGAGCAATAGAACAATAGCAAAACAAAAGGATGTTTTACCTGATTCCGCTCATAAAGCATGTGATTCTTGGTAAAATACTTGTATGTATCTCGTCCTTTAGCTAGCATGCTTTGATCAATGGGACCTATAATTCCGATAACTCGTGCCAGTAACGTTGCTGGGGAATCGTTTTGGAACAGGACCTGAGAAGTTTCATTTTAGCCAATTGGTACCAGGGTCACAGTTGGGCAACCAAACTGTGGAAGGTCCAATGCATCCATACTTTAAATGATGTGAGGAAATTGTTCAAGCAGATGGAAAGAACTGCATATTGATTAGCCCTTGCAGAAATTACTCGAAGTAATATCCAATATATCTCCAAAAGAAATATATTTTGAACTTCAATAAATCAGAGGTCACTAGCCCCAGATATTAAGATGTTCCCCCCAGAGACAGAATAAATAAATAAATAAATGCATCACAACATAAATATGAGAGGTGGCATTTCAATTGATAAGAATAAAAAAAATATGGGTGCAGCCTAAAAATACAAAAAGAAATTTATCTCTCTCTCCCCCCTCTACGTATTTACAGCACCTCAGCTGCACCTCCATATCAGCATCAAGCCCATTGTTCTTTCCTATCTTCTGCATTCCAGAATCATGTTCTCATATCCCAACCTTTTACTCTGGCAACAAACATTCCAGCTTCCAAAATCTCCAAAAACTAATGGTTTAAACACCATCTTCTCCAACTTAGTCACATATACAATGTTCCACTCCCTAAAATCCCTACAAGGTTCTCACCTCATAAACTAAGCTAGTCAAATAATCCTCACAAAAAACCTTCTCAACTCATTAAACACAATAACCTCTGTTTTTTTGGCAAAGTCCCTCAATAATTATATTAAATCTTATATGATAACTCATGGTAAATTTAAGCACAAATGCATGTGATATCATTCTTCATCAAGTTATCTTTCTTACAATAGTTAATTTATGCATTCTCCATCAGTTGGGAAACTATAATAAAACTCTTAACTCTCCATGTATGGTGACTCTTGGCATAGTTCCTCATGGATAACTTTCCCACAAGTTTATATGATAAGTCAGTAAATTTATGTTCAAGTCGTTGTTCATGCAGTCAGTAATCTCTTTCTTACTCACACTAATTTGTGCATCCACTCAATGATTGAGAAATCAAATAAGACTCTGACTATCCTTGCATATTGAACATCTTGTCTTAATTTAAAAGGAAAATAAAAGGAAAGGAAGAAAAGACTACAAGTGTTGTCCAAAAACAATGGGTGAAACAGATGCATAGACAATGAATAGACCCTGCTATTCTTACAATTTCCTCCAAGGAAACAAACTAAATGGGTAAATAAGTAATAGGTAAGACTTACATTTCCAGTGCAAAGTTCTGCCAAAATGCAGCCAAGTGACCAAACATCTATCTTCTTATCATATGGAAGTCCTAGGATAACTTCTGGTGCACGATACGACCTGGATTGAACATAGGAGCACAGATGATCTGTCTCAAAACAGCTACTCCCAAGATCAATGACTTTCACCTCACATCTACTATAGCTTTTCACCAATATATTCTCGGGTTTTAAATCACAGTGTATAAGACCAAGGCCATGCAAAAACTGAAGTGCCTCCAAACATTGAGTGGTAATTGACTGCATAGAGAATTTGGGAAAAAGTTTATAGACCAGCATGCATGAAAAAAATCATGTATTCTCCTTTCTTTTTTGGTGAGGAAATGAAATTTTGAGAAGGAAACAAGGGGTGCTACACATTCCAAGTAATAAATATATAACTCTTGGAATGACAAGAGGATAGAACTCTTAAGAAGAAAATGGCAAACAAACCTGCAATCGAGGCATTGTGAAGTATACCTCCCCTCCTGATTCTCTATTGAACTTATGGAACTCATATAGGTTTGCCTTGAGAAGCTCACATACGATTAACAAATGCTCCTGCATAGCAAAGAGAAGTTAAAAAGTAAATTATTTATAACTTGCATCAAGGAGTTATCACAAACTTCTCCCTCAAGAAATCAAATCAAATCAAATCAAAGCTTCATTTTTAGATTCTTGTGGTGCAATTGAAAATGCATTCACTAAAATACATGGCTATTCTTTTATCGATTTTCAGCTCATTTTAATATGATGTCTGTAAAACAATTCTCCTCCGTCTAGTGGTTTGGAGTAAGTGGTCCAACCATGCAACCAAGGTTCAAGAACTAGTAACAACAAGAAACAAAAAATTGCTGCTATAAAAATGAGATGATTCTATGCATGTCTGCATAACCCTTTTGCAAATTTATCAATTAAAATGTAAATTTCTACTAAGAGAGGCAACATGGGGGCAGAAACTAATAGCATCAAGAAATACAGGAACAAGAAAACTTTTCTAACCCAGAATAGTGGCTTGAATAAGGATTTTATCATGAAATCTCAAGAAATTCAGCTTTCTAATGAAACCACATCGCTAGCATAATTTCAAAAATTTTCAGTCATTTCCTCTCCCAAAACCTGCTAGAGTACTGGTGGATACAAAAAATCCTAACTCAACTCAGACTACCAATTGTTCACAACCAAAAGAAAAATTCCAAAGCCACATGAAAATCTAGGAACAGTGAGCCATCTCCCACTATTAAGTTTTAAGCATACAGAATGTTCTATCCACAATATAATGGACTTGAAAGTGCTAAACAATTGCACTAAAACATATAAGAACTTCAACGCTTGCCAATGCAAAAACTGAAAAAAATAGAATTCATATATTTTTATGTGATCTTTGAAGATAGGAGGAAACCGAATGCCAAATGTCTATTTGGCTTGATCCCAGCTAGAACTGTTTTAAAGAAGACTGTTTTGCTAGCAAATCGTGTACGATTTTCAGGTCTAAACTACAAGGTAGTTTTCCAATTTTTTTCTTACATTGGATAAATTTTGTAAAACTTGACCAGTCAACTGCTTCATTATTAACTAACTGAATAGCCAGCTGGCTCCACCAAACAAGCACCTCCTATCTTACCCAATATAAGTTGTAACCTCACATTTAAAGACAATGAATGAATGGAAATTTCAGCTATATACGTTGAGATTGTGTGGTTCAATCTATCTTAATTATGATGCTTAGATTTTCCATCTTCTAGGTGTGATTCCTAGAAATCCTACTAGTTATGGCTAGCTGGCTCTGCCAAACAAGCATCTCCTTTCTTACCCGATAAAAGTTGCAACCTCACGTTTAAAGACAATGAATGAATGAAAACTTCAGCTATATACTTCAAGGTTGTGTGGTTCAATCTATCTTAAGTGTGATGCTTAGATTTTCCATCTTCTAGGTGTAATTCCTAGAAATCCCACTAGTGTGATGGTTGTGGTCCTTTATTATTTTCCATTTCAATGTATTAACCCCATATCCTATACTCCTGCCTATTTTGATCACCATACCCTTAAACACATCCCAATTTTCACCAATTACCTATTCCCCATGTTTTACCCCCACCAAATATACTAGAGCTTGTAATCTATATTGAGTTAGGTACTGTGAATTAAAGACCCTGCATCAGTTGTGCTTGTTATAAACACTCAAATACAAGTCTCTTTACAAGAAAAACAACGGCTTATAACTCTTATCTATTATTTCACAATGGACAAAAATTTTATGACTGTATCTATTCAGGTGCCAAATATATTTTTTGAAGGAAACTTAGGAACCAGGTCAGGTGACCAAAACTTAACAAAGCAGCGTGATGATCTAAATTTTTATTACATACTTATATTAATAAATATTGCATTACACTGAAACAGTGCAGAGAAGTCTGTGACCTGATATTAATTCTTTCGCAACTAAAACTAACTTACACAAGGTTACAAGGAGGGCAGGACGTTGAAAGCTGCAGAGAAACCATCTATGTGATAAACCATTAAATATTGAGGGGAAAAAAACAAATCAAGAAATGCAAGCATATCCACTTACTCGGTAGTAGAAATAATCATACAATCTGAGAATGTGGTACTTGTCAGCATGATCATGCTTGTTGACATACTTTAAAAGCTTTATCTCATCAAGACTTTGATCAAAGAAGTCCTTGTTGTTTTTTATAATTTTCACACAAACATCCATGCCTGTGTGCAGATCATGTGCTTGTATAGCTTTACTAAAAGCAGCTGAGCCAAGATACTCAGTAACATGATAACGACCAGCAATCACAGAATTCAAAACACCATGGAAGTTCTTGTCCTCCTCAAAGCCAGTTCTGACCAACAAAAGCAGTTCATGAGAACATGTGTTAGAATCAAGCTAATCAATGAGAAGCAGAGTTCAATAAAATAGATCACTTGATTAAGAATCTAACATTGACTAAAGAAAAATAAATAGTTATCCAAATTTCAGCACATGCCAAATACAAGGAGAAAAATATGTATTTTACGAGCAATTCACCACAAAGAAACATATTACTCCACTTGTAATGAAAACTACAGCTCTATTTGGCCTTGTTGTGCTTATAAGTTAAATAGCTTTGGTGTTGTAGGCAGAAGTGCTAAAAATTAAAGTTGTATTGATAAAAGTTGGTCGCTGATTGGTTACAATAGTTGTTACAAGGGCATTCACCACAAAAAACATATTGCTCCACTTGTAAAGAAAACCACAGCTTTATTTGGCTTTGTTGGGCGTAAAAGTTAAATAGTTAGTGTAGTAGGCAGAAATGCTAAAAATTAAAGGTATTAATAAAATTTGATGGATGCTTGGTTACGATTGTTGTTTATGGGATGTTGAGTTTAAAAACAAGTAACACTTGTTTGATTAAATTAATATTAAAAGTGAAGTTGAAAATCAAAATGACAAACAAGGGCATAAGTAATTTTTGGTCTATTAAGGTGGGGTATGAACAAAAAAAATTGACATGCAAAATTATTTTAAACAAATAAAAAAAACTAATATGTTTTTTTCATTTAATCAACACCTGAACAAATAAAAACAAAAAAGAATTGTATATATAGCTTGTCAAATGAAAAAAAAAAAAAAAAAACTGAGCTACATTCAAATGATTGTCAGGTTTTTTATTTTTTTCAGAGAAACAAATGGACTTTGTATTTATAGAGTAAAAAGATCATAATTATTTGAAATGTAGAAGGATAGTCGTTGTGTTGTTACTTTTAGCAAGGCCAAATAAACCTTATAAACCTTACATGTAGCTCCAATACTAGCAGTTTTTGTCACAAATTTCAACAAGCCAACAATTCACAAAATAAAAAGAAGTGGGAAGGCTGTGCCTAACTAAACATTACAAGCACACAACTAGCCACCATTGCGGCTACTGGCATAGAGTAAAGCAGCAAGGGAATAAGGGCAAATGGAAAAGGAAATAATAGAAAACTTATTCTATCATCCCCATTTATCCAGACGACCAAACAGCACCAAAGTTCCACCAGTCCATGAATGTTTTTACCTTGAGATCATAACCATAATTATTCAGAAGAGAAAGCAAAAAAAATAACTTAAGCAAAGACCTACAGGTGCACACACCAAGGACACTATCAGGGGACACAAGTAGCCTCATTTACCAAGGAACTTGGATATCTACATTCCTATTTTTAATAAGGATGCGTCCAACAAGAATTTTGTAATTAAAGGGTTTGAGAAATGAAAGGATTTTCAAGTCTTCTGTTTTATTTAAGATTTTTGTTCTTCTGAACACCATTATTTTGCCCACCAAATGACTCCAGCAATATAAATAATCTTAAAACTATATTAGCTTCTTTTTTTTAACCAAATACATCTATTAATAGCTAAAAGTATAACAAAAGTAGGATCAAATTGCAACATCATAGTGCACAAAAGTTTTGCAAGAGAGAGAGAAGACTACTTTCAGTAATTGCACAATGTTTCTTGTTTTTCCTTTCCTGATTTGTATCACATCTATTAATTTGAGACTAACAAGTTAGCTATTGTCAGTCAATCAAAACTCAACAGGCATGGTAGCAATAGTCATTTTAATAAGAGTGACAAATTAATCATTCCACACTCAAAAGCATCCCCTACATACCCTATTGTTTCTATTCTTTCCCTTGGATCTTTCTGGTCTTTATTCTTGTTTTAAGTTCTTTTTATAATGCTTTGTTCAATCTTTCTCATCCCTTGTTGTGCTCCACTGGCTGGTTTGCAAAATAATTCACATGGCTCTTTCAAATTCTGTGTAATGAAAGATTCAGTAACAACAGGATCTTAAATTCCTAAATTTGTGTGTGAGAGAGAAAGAGAGAGAGAGAGAGCGAGTTTGTTTGTAGAAAGGAATAATATCTTTGCTGTTTCAAAATAACCTTCAAAAACAATTCACCCCCTCCCAATCCTTTAGCAAGAAAACCAGAATCTCCATAAAAATGGTGCTGCTTGTTTTGTTAACTCGCAATCATTTCTTTGGTTATCAGAAGGTAATAAAAAAATCAAAAGAGATCAAATCAGGTGCCAACAAAGGTTTACGGAGAAAAAAGTTGAAGATACCATGAGAATACGGAATACTCAGAAGAAAGAAAACATTTTGACACAGGAGAGAAAAAAACACGAGTCCTGTATAATTAGTTGTATATCATTATATATGGGGGATGTGTTAGAAAGAAAGTTTGTATGTCAGAGTTGTGAAAGGGGATAACACTCTAGGATGTGAAGTAGAGACATCTTATCGATTCTAATAGTGGCAAGAGCCCAAGCTGCATAATGCATCAGTAAGCAACCAGAAATCACTAATTTTTTATTTAGATAAACTCATCTAAGAAGAACATACCGGTTTTTCCTATGCACAATCTTAAGGTTGAAAGTTTCAAATTCCTCCTCCTGAGCCTTGATTTGCCTTACTTGCTCTTGAACGGCAGCAGCTTCTTCATCCTCCAGGGATGCCACAGGATCTTCTTCCCTCACACCACCGATCTTCTCATCTCTTTCTTTCATGGCAAGCTCTGGTTCTGTATAACCATAATTTGAGAGAGAAGAGGGACTAGAATTTGCTGATCTCACAGCATTTGTATTATTTTCATCCCTAGAACTTTTAACAGTTGAGGAATCACAGCTTTTCCGCTGCCATGTACTGATCATGTCATCAGGCCCTGTTAAAGCATTCAAGTGATCATTTGTTTCTTCACTGACAACCGCATTGCAGTTGTCGGACCATAAAGATTTACTAGAGCCTGCCTGCAACAACTGTTCATTCCTCAATGGTGGGGGAAATGAAAACCCACCATCTGCATGACTTCTACCTTGAGCATGCATGTCTCGGTCACTTCCAACCACATATTTATTAAGTTTCTTCTTATCCCTGTTTTGTTTGTCAACATATTTCTTGTCTGAGACATGGTGAGAAGATCTGGATCCCCCGACTCCAGTGTCATGATCACAAAAGTACTCTACATCCCCTTCACTACTGCCTCCAACCAAACTTTCCCGAATTTCACTTCCAATATCAGCAGCATCACTGTTGATTCCCACACCAATCGATCTAACTGAACCATGTTGATTGTCATCCATACAAATATCATCTAACTGTGGCCTTCCACACTCATTCAAAACCTTCCCATCTCCTATCATGATGAGTTGATTTGTATGCGTGACAAACCCCTGCCAGACAGGTTCTGCTCGCATCAAACCTAGTTCTTCTTCATCCATCAACTGCCCATCATATTGAGCTATTAAATCACTCCCATTATTCGTCCCATACATATCTATCACTGATAACCCTATAGGATCATCTGATGCTGTGACTGGTTCAACAGTTTTTGCTTGAAATATCTGCTCACCAGAGAAGTAAGAATCCTCCTCGGCAAAAGATTGATCATCGTCTTCATCTTTGGTTGGAACTCTATCCTGGGGTTCTGGAACGCTCCCATGCCCAGCACCCTTTTCATTGTCACTTGGGTAATCAATTTCATGTGCCAGAAACCAGGCCTCGTCCTCGATAGGTTGTCTCATATATCCATCATCATCATCGTCATCATATTCATCAGAATCCCAATACTCATTTTGATAATCAATGGATTCACTTAATCCATCACCAACAGTAGCAAAACCAGAAACTAGATCAGATGCATCCTCAGCAATTCCCTGACTTACAGATAGCCAGCTGCCTCCTGCAATCCTTTTTCCACCTGGATCATCAATTACCAGGCAAAATTAAGAGGAGAAATCACCAGGGGGGTGAAATTATGTAGAAAATGGAACAGGATAGGTAATCTGAATTTATTGCACTATATAGTTAACATAATTCATTTAATAAAATACAACCAATTGACTATATGTTCCCTGTTTTACACCCTACATGCCATAGGAAACCAGAAAGCAAAGCGATTGGTGTTCCAAAACCGAAAGATACAAGATGAGCTTCATTCCTCAAAATGAGAGCTCCTAAATCATTGAAGAACTGAAAGCACGGATATAATATATGAATATGCTGGAAGGATGATCATCATGCTGTCATCTCTACTTCTTTAGCAAATATTTTGTCTTACATCAAAAGAGGCAAAATGGATCACCATGTATAAGTGGCAATAAAAACTTAAACACGTTAGCATGCCTTTATCCCTTTATTAGGGTAAAACCAAATGGGTAAGGCGCCCCAGATTCTCACACCTGAGTTGCAGTTATCCTTTTTAGCATGAATATGGAAAAAAAAACAGTAAATTTTCAGTCAGCATAAGATATAAACATTCAACTTCTTTGACAGTAAAACAGAACGTTTCCCTTAGTTGTTGGGGTCAAAGAGATGACGCTAGTTTCACAGCAACAAGATAGGTATAAATAATCAAGTATATAGTACCTAATTGATAACATTCAAGCACCTAAACTGGCTAGCCATCTTTAATGTTAAAATAATATACTAACAAGTTGAAAATAGTAGAATGTTTTATGCAAAGTTAGTTTCAATGTTGATGGATGACAAGATTTCTTTCTTTATTTCTTTTTTCACTTCCTTCACTTTCTGAATCAATAAACAATAACTAGCAAATACTCTAAACCCCTCAAAAATCCGCTAAAAGGTCACATCATCACACTCATCATATGAGCTTACCTGAAGAATTGATTTCTTGTCCGACAGGAACATCGAGATAGGAACCTATAAGGTAGCTATTATCAGCGCTGATGACCTTTGAACTTGGCCCATCACGCTCAAACTTTTCCTGCCAATTGATTGATGGCTTATCCTCTGACTTGAGTTTAACTGGTGGAAGCCTAGGAAATTCCTCCTTTGGAATATCAGATACAAGTGAAAACCCTAAGCCACTTAAATTCTTCTGCTCTGTGCTCCCTTGTGACTTTTCAAAGAACAAAGTTCTTCCAACCTCATCCACCTGTTCTTTGATAGCTGCCCTAAGATCACTTGCACCTGCTTTCTTCTTTCCATCTCTTTTGTCCGAATTTGCAATAGGATCATCATAACTGGTCGATGCCTCCCCCTTGGGGAATGGAAAAACAGTCTTGACAGAACAATCTTTCCACAGGTCTGAGGAAGAATTTGCGGGTTCCACATTCTGAGACGATGGGTTACCTGCAGAGAATGCAACAGTAGTTTTAAGTTGCCAATCAAGCTCCTTCAATTCATTCGTTTCAATTTTGTTATGCTTGGATTCTGCATTGGCATCACTGGTCCTATTGCTTCCATGCCATGAACTTTTCTTTTCACCAGTTAAGATAAACTCTTCTCCAGATTTGGCTTTTGCTCTAGCAGAGAAGTTACTGGTGCTAGTACCAACATCATTCTTGTATGGATTAGAAGGACCATTGCTTGGATTAAAGTTCCATGAATACAAACCAAGCACAGTATCCTCTGAATCAATTGCTTCATTATTTTTACCACCCCGTTCCCCAGCAGAAGCAGAGTTTTTCCATTTGCTTTCAGTCCCATTTCTATCCACCCCACACTCTATTTCTTTCACAATAAGTTCCTTAGAAATTTCACCATGTTGAGGACCTGACCCCTGAGGATGACAGGTTAATTTGCCCCCATTCTCTTCTTCCACCGCCTTCCCCGAGTTCTTATCTTCAAGGGCAAGTTTTTGAAGGAATCCATTCACATCAGGGAGGTTACTAAGCTCACTGCGCAATGCTGCCTCTGCTCTTGTGAAGCGATTTTTCTTCAGAAAGTCCAAAATCACATCAACTGAGCTTGTCTCCTCCATAATCAACTTCTAAAAATCAATTAGCAAATACTAGAATGACAAATCCACCAAACTGAAACAAAGAAAAAAAAACCAAATAAACCAAAGGAAAGTAAACCCACTAAGTAAAAAAAAAAAACTTACTTTCATCAAAGAAACAAACTTCGAGAGGTTTAACACTCATCTACTTGGCAAACAGCAAAACACCATATAATGCTTGAAACCACATAACAAACCAACCCCACAACCTCATTTAGTTCAAAATTCTCTTTTTCCACCAGTGTTTAGTTAAAAAGCCCCGAACTTTCAAAATCACAAAAATTAACTCACATTTCCAACATTAAGCCAACAAAACAAAACAAAAACCCTAAATATCCTTCCAAACAACAAATCAAGACATTAAAAGATCCAAAACCCTTTAACCCACAGTATTAAAAGCCCTAAACATCACATTTTATAAAAAAACTTCAAGATTCAAAAAAGAGGCCTTCAATCTACAAGATTCACAAGCCAAAAACAAACCCATTTTTTTTTCCACTTACAGATCGAAGATGGCTCGAGAGAAAAGAAAGGAGCTTTTTTAGTGTGGATTCCATAGCCAATCTCACATTAACAATAAACAAAGTACTTACGATTTCGCATTCGTGGGTTTTTGGTTTTTTGTTTAAATGTTTGGTACCTCTCACTCTCCTTTTTTTTTTTTTTTTTTTTTGGGTTTCTTGTATTGTTTTTGGCCTGCAATCTTCTCTGAGGCCCGGCAATGGTTGTTTTTTGTAATAGCAATAAAATCTTGAGTTATGATACTGTGTTATTCCTGTGGGTTTAAGGTTTGCCTTGTATTCGTGAAATGTTGTCTTAGCATTAATCTAACGGTGGAAAATGTTTTTCAATCTAGGTTGTAGGGTATCGAATGGCTGATGAAATTTAAAAAAATGGGCTCCGGCTATGTTTTATGCTCCATCAGTGCATTTACGAGGGCAAACATAGAATAAAAGCTTAACATTCTTTTGACAACATTTACCATAAACGTATATAACCTAAGAATTTGAAGCACAATCCTTGTTTTTTTTAGACCTAGATCTTAACAACCAAAATTAGCATTGTCTATTCGATTTATGAAATAAAGTCTCTTTACCTTAACTTATTATTATATTAAAGATAATTATTTTTTTAGTTCCATTTCAATTAGGGAGTTTCCCTCTTTTATTTTATTGTTATAAAATTTATATATAATACGGGGTTAACTGAATTAACTCAAATTAATTTTAAAATAATATTATTTTAATTTTTTTAATTAAAATAACATTATAATAAATAAATACTATAAAAATAAATTTTTGAAATTGATATAAGTACTTGATCTAGTCTCACTTGGATTTGATCTAATTATAGATTGATCCAATAAATCACTCGAGTTTGATGAAGCCAATATCCACTTGGTTTTTTTTTAAAAAAAACCTAGCTTGAACCAAGTTTTGAGTCAAGGGATCGTTGGGTCAATTCTCTATATCAAATTGAGTTTAATAGTTATGCTCCACTACATTTATTATTATTTGAGAAAATAGGTTTTCAAGACCTTTAAAAAAACTAAAGTGAATCCTTATGTTTAGAATATAAGATTAACCCTAGAAATAAGTATAAACAGTAAAATTCATTAACAAAAAAAACTAAAACATATCATCTTTTTAATATGAATTTCATATTTAGCTTCTTATATTTTTCTATTCATAGCATTGTTTGGCATGCAAATTTTTGTTTTTAGTCTCTCAAGTTTTAGTTCTTTTAATTAGTCATCAATTTTTTTTCTTTTCAATTAGATTCTCGCTCATTTGATAATTTTGGTGTTGTTTGGATTCTATTTTAATTCTTTATCTTCCCACTATATAAACAATATGAAAATCTTGTTTCTTTCTTATATGAGATAAAATTTTTGAGTTTCACATAAATATGTCGACTAATGATTTCTTAAGATTAGTTTTTTATTTACAATAATTTATTTTAATATCGTTAATGTTTTTATGTTCTATAGATTACGTTGAAGAATAAATTTCAATAAAGTTTTAACCTTAAAAATGAGTAAATCTCACTTTTAATTTAGTTTCGAATATATCTATTAAATATGTTTTAAAATAAATTTTTTCAACACTTTCCCATGACTAAAAATTATTTGACTAGTATAAAAGATTTGAAGATTTGTAAAGAGATAATGATTTAGTGTATTACTATATTAGAATTAATAACTTTTGACTTTGAATTTTTTTTAGTGAAATATAATCAAATTTACTTAACTAAATAGTAAACACAATGTTTTAAAGTATTTAAACTTTTATGTAAATTAATATAATAATATTTATATAGTTCTCTATCTTAAGATTTTATTTGGTTCTCACAATTATGTCATTTTGGCATTGAACAACTCCTGGATTTATAAATATCATAAGTAATTTAGTCTTTTTCAAAATTTTGAAAGAAAAGATCATATTTCCCACTTATATAGTTAACATTTCATTAAGAGTATTGTTGTAACCCAATTTTGGATTCACTAAAATTTTTTGAATGTTATTTTATCTTATTATCCATGACAAAAAAAAATATAATAAATATAAAAAAAAGAGAAAAAAAGAGTCTAAAATATATTTTCTCGAGTCAACCACATCTTTCTACCAAAATCGAGTCCACCAGGTCAATACGGGTTAAACGATGTCGACTGGGATGAAAAATGAGTTTCGGGCCGTTTCGAGTCAAAATCGTCGTTTTCGGTCAAAACCGAGTCCACCAGATTAATACGAGTCCCACCATGTCGACCGCGATGAAAAATTTAGTATTATTATATATAATAAAACAAATAGTAATCGGTGGACGTTGAAAATTTTAACAATCCCGTGATTATTTTCATAATCATGTGATTTGTTGTCTGCTTTCATTGGCTATAAATAGCCAATGAAATCAAGACACAAGAGGGGAAGAAGATAAAAAAAAATTCATTCTGAATTCGCATTAGTATTTGTGTTACTATTCATTTTTCTTATACTTTTTCTACACCATATTAAATTTTTTTTAAATAAATTGAAAAATATCAAAAATATCCCAACCGTTAGATCTAATAGTGTTTAAATCTGAACCTTTGATTTCTTAGGATATAATAGGTTTTACCACACCAGATTAAAACCCAAATCAATCTCAGCCTTTAAAATAATCTTCCCTTCGATCCTGTTGCGCCACGTCAGCAGGTGTACTAAGCACTAGGTACACGGCGCCACACCAGATCGTAGCCCATTAAATCTTGACCATCCGATCAACTTGAAGATCAAACCAATCACAGTCGCACGATCTGTTCATCCGAGATCCAACGGTGCCCAGGCTTCAGACGCACGAGTGCACCATACACTCGTCCACACCGTAGCAACACCCAAAGCTTCTCTCTCCTCTCGCCGGCGATTCTCTCTCTCTCCGCCGATCTCCCATTTCCGGCTGTTGCAAGCCGCGAAACCACCATAGAAACGTGAATCGCCTCCTCTGAAGCAAAACCCCAGCCGTTTTACACTTTTTCACCGGCTATTTTGGCCGAAAAAAGGCCGCGACCGTCATCGGCTAATCGACATTCAAGTCGTCGATTCTCCCTCCTCAGCCATAAACGGCCAACGAGACCACCACCATCAGAATCCTCGTCCTCAGATCTACCATAATCAACCATTGTTTGGCCAAACGCTCACCGAAAAAATTCGCCACCGTCAACAGTAACCGCGCGTGAGCCACACGCGCCGTCGGTGGCATTTTAGTAAATTTTCACTAATCCGAGGGTATTTCAGTCTTTTGCCTATACAGGGGTGCTCAGGTAATTTTT